ATTCATAATCATGTAAATTTACTTATTGTCTTCTAATAAGATATTTAAAAGCTATTTTACATGTTGCTTTGCCAGTTTTATGCTATATATTGTAATCAAACAGAAGTGAATGCACCGATCAGATAATTAGTCTAATTAAAACAAAAAATTCTTTCTGATGGTAGGAAACTTTTTCTTGTTCTCTGCCTGAACTAAACTACCACATGCTAAGCTATGTTCTATTGTTGGCTCAGGAGACAGAGGGAGAAAAGGGAAGCATGCGGTGGTAAATTGTTCCCTAACCTTGTCCTGAAACCTGGGACAAGGAAAAGAATATGGACACTAACCATATCATTGCTCCCTTCTATGGAGTGTTTCCCCTCTTCTGGAAACTGGCAGTGGCTCTAGAAATAGGAGCTTAGTGATTCTTTACCACCACTGAAACTGTGGAAATTCTTAGTTGCATTGCATGTTTGTGGAAAATGAAGTTCAGAGAGCTCAAGACACCTGCCCAGAGTCACACAGCTAGTGAGTGTTGGAGCCATGTTTTTTACACAGAGGCATGTATCGAATGCCACACCTAAGAAGCAGTTTGTTGCTTTCACTCTTGAGCTGATGATTTGGGCTCTGAGTAGTATGAGGGGCATGTTGCTTTGATAAGCCTGTGAGAGATAGCCAAGTAGTGGCAGTTAGTAGATTAAAGTGACAGAGAACTGTAACATCATGTGTAAAATGTATAAAGACACATGGAATGAAAAAAGCCCTTTTGAGAAAATCATTAAAAATGATTAGTTGAGTTAGTATGCAAAATAAAATTTTACTTCTCACTCTGAGGCCATTGGGACCTAACAATCTCCTGACATGGACTTTTTTTTTTTTTTAACACAATTTTAATCACATCAAGAGAATAAACTACCAAACTTCTGTGTGAATCATAATACAAACAGCTATAAAGTGCCTAATTAGTTGTTTTTATATAGTTGATTTTCAACATCTACATTGTAGAGACATGCAAACTCCAGGAGAAACAATGCACGGTTTTGTCCCATCTATTGGTGTGGACGTGGAAGGCAGGCTAGGCAATCAGAAGTATGACTGGATCCTGTCGTCCCACTCTGTGGTGAATGGCTGTTCAAAGTAATAAGCTGAACCCAAGGAGGTGGGGAGTGTCCATCCCCTCTTAACTGCCAGTGTCTCAGCTGAATCACTGATGATGAAGAATATCATTGTTGTTGGCTCTTTCACCTAAAAGATAAGCCCCTGGACCAAGGTGGAAGAAATGGGACCCATTCCCATCCAGCTTTGACAACCACTTCCTGCTGATGCTTGGGAGAGTCGTGTAACCGCTCATTCACCATCTCTGACAGTGTAACCTGGGCAGGGTATCCCATACTTTGCCTTCTCACAGGAATAACATCAATTTTTCACATCCAATACATGATTTCCCACAAAGTGTGAACTCAAAAAAGCCTCACTAATCGAAGAAAAGAATTAGTGAATTAATTAATATGCTCTTCTAATTTTTCAAAGCATTTGACATACATGGATAAGGTTTATGCTTACTAATTATCCTTATTAATAGAACTAAAGTCAGAATTACTTGTAGTCACCAGAGGGACTTATTTACTTCACCATCAAAATAGTCCTTTAAGTTGGCAGAGAACAGTGAAACCCGGTTAGAAATACAGTCACTCAGTCGACTTAAACTGCCCTCAATGACTTCTACTCTACATGCCCAGCTCCCTCTTCTGTAGCCAGCAAATCCCTACTGCTGATGACCTACTTGACAGTTCCATCTGACACAAACGTCTCCAGTTTACAAGTCCAATCCAAACTTAATTCAACGCTTTTCCCCATAAACCCACTTCTCCTTTTGGATTCATGACCACAGATACCAAGATCACAGTTCACAAAATTTCTCAGATGAGGAAGCATAAAATCAGACCGGCATTCTTTACTCAGCCACCAAATCTGGATATTATCTGCTTTATTGATATGCCATCATTCATTCAAGAAATATTGCTTGTGTACCTATTAGGTTTCAGGCACAATGAAAAGAGCTAGGCATACAATTAGAAAACACGATCCTTTCAACCTTGGAGCTTACACTCTGCTGTGTCAGTCAGACCCACACACACAGTAAAGGCCAGTAAGTAAAGTAAGTTCAAAGAATTACAACGGGTACAAAGGAAACTAGCAAAGTGTGGTCCACTTTGGACGGAAAAGGGTCCCGTTTGGTCTGTGCAAGGAACTGATGGATGGATGGCCAGCATGGTTGGAATGTAGTGCCTGGAAGGAAAATGGGGAAGTTGATAGGTTTGCAGGGGTTCTGGTCATGTAAAGCAACAAAATAATGGAATTGGAATGTATTTGAGGACTTTGGGAAGCCAATGAAGAGGTTTGGTTATGGGGTCATGTGATCTGAGTTGTGTGTTAATATCTTTCTGGCTTCTTTGTGGAGAAGAGGTTGGAAGTCAGAGAGAATGGCTGTGGGTTTGTCTCGGTGTTCCAGGTCACAGGTGAGGATGGTCTAGACCCGGCTGATGGCAGCACAGAAGTAGAGTAGCCTTGCCTCTTTCCCATTCCCTATCTACTGACTTATTTGAGGCCCTCGTTTTATCTTATTTTGACTTTCATAAATACCCTGTCGGTTATTTAGATGTTCTTAATCTGTCCTCCACACTGCCTGCCAGATACACTTGTGCTCAGAGATCCCAACTCACTTTTGACCTTCCACCCACCATCACTGTCCTGAAACAGCTCTCAAAAATAAGTGAAGGATACACAACAAAGTAATGGAATTGGAACGACTAAAAATAATGACTTGGTCCCACCTGATGTACAAAGCAATACTCTCTGGGCACCGTGCATGTGTATTTTCAGCAAGTTTCTCCAAGCGTTGCAGATCATTTTCTCTCTTATCCTCCCCACCATCCCTGGGAACACTGGCTTCTTAAGATACGATTTAGCTAAACACAAGATCTGTCCAGAACTGCTGCAATTGGCCTACCCTCCTCCATTCACGGTCGACATCTCACCATCTCCTGTGTGTCTTTTATATATGTTGTCCCCTCAAACCTGAAGGAGAGAAAGTATCCTGTTGCACTGTCTGGGGAGGTGGGTAGGCACAGAAATCAATAGGTGGTTACAAGACAACAGGATAGATATTTTGGAACAGGGCTGGGAGGACCAAAAGATGTCAAGGATGATAGCAAGATTCATTGTGCATCCTGATGTCACCAGCAGGGTCTACCAAATAAGATTTTGATGAATGAATGAATGAATGAATGATGATTGTAAACAATGCCCACTATTCAAGTACAAGGAGAACAGAACAGTGTTCCTTCTTTAGCTGAATCGATGTCATAAAGCACTGATTACTTATATCGAAATAAGGAAGAACCACTTAAACTAAGATTGCTTTTGAGGCAATATGTTCCAAATGAAAGAGGACTCCACTAGTCAGGAAAGACATTTTATTTCCAAGCTTCTAAGAGGGTTCTACAAACAACAGAGGCTTAAAGTAAAAAAGAGAAGATAAAAAGAAAAAAAGAAAAACAGAAAAACAAGTATTTTAACTATTGAAAATTAGACAGCTTTTTTTTTTAAACTTAAACATAAAAATCTAAAAATGTAGTTGTCAAATCTAATCTAAATACATTCCTAGACAAAAAGGATCATCCATGGTGATGGGGTTACTTACAGCTGTATTCTTGTTTAAGTGCTATTCATCCTTTTGCATTATTTCTTTATTTCAAATTCAATTGGAGATCTGTGCAAATCTAGCAAAATATTCTTTGGATTACAAAAACTATATAAAAAATGAACAGAACCTGCAATTTATGGAAGTATTGAGAATGTGCAATCCTTCATTGAAATGAAAGATTCCAAAGTGACATTGTCCACAGAATTTATTCCACTGAAGTGTTCAATTTGATTTAAATGCAAAGTAAAATGAAAGTGAGCACTTCATATAAACATTTCTCTTTTTATGCATGTTGACTGAGTCACAAAAATAGTATGTAGCAGGATATCAAGAAATGCTTGAAACAAAGTTTCACAATAAAGTAAAAAAAGAAAGATAATCTAAAAATTGTCTGCAACCCAAGAGAAAGCATGTGCCCTGTTTCTAAGGGGAAAGAGGGAGAACACGTGTAGCATGACTTTGTGTGGTCTTTCCCCGAGTATTGCTACATTTTGACCTTTGGCCCAGCTGAACAGGTGTAATGTACTCCACGGAAGTCCCAATCCCCAGGCAGCCAGATGGGACTTCCAGAGACAGCAGGCATACTGGCACTGACCCTCAGAATCCACCAGGGTCCCTGCCCTCATTCTGAGCTTGTTGCCAAAGCATATTTTAAGGTTTGGAAATGAATTGCTCTTTCTTTCATCAAAATTTAAAATGCCACATTATTTTAAGAGGACTGAAATTCATAGGAGGGAAATATAAGCAGTTTCAACTGTCAGAGTCATTATGAGAGCCTGGCAAGATCAAAGTAGGGAAAAATAGAATAACATCGGATGTCTGATAACTACATGTAGCATATTTCTATTTTTGACCCTTCCCTCGCCCAACCCCCAAATGCTCAGTATCGGGCATAAAATCTACATCTTGGAACTTTAGAGGTCTGATCATTTCATTTCCTCATGGATTCATCTCTCATAACCATTGAATTACTGATATACAAGATAAATGCCTATTATATAACAAGTATTGCAAAATCAGAGACTGACCTAGATCTTTCGCATCCTTCTTTTTCAGAAGATGTGTGCAAAGAGAAGCCAGGAAGCTAACACTGAGAATGTACAAGAAAGCTTTAAACGATGTTACAGAATCTTGTCTGAAAAAAAAAAAAAAAAACATTTGCAAAACATACTTGATTTTAAATAAACAATAAAAGCAGCAGACTACAACATCTCATAAATAGGGTTATTAAAAGATCACAATTATCTTAAATTAGAAATATAAATGGGTCATTAGAAATACTTAAACGTTTCAATGTTAAGAATGAAACCCAGAATTAAAAAAGAATCTGTTTTTTATTTCAAAGTTGCTTCTTATATTGAAGCTCATATTAAAGCAACAGTACAATGTTCATAAAATATAAGTGTGATGCCGTAACATTTCTTACATGTCAGAATACTGATATTTGTATGTATACTAAAATAAGAACTTTAAAATTGTACAAATAGATACATTAAAAATGACATAGAAATAGGGCGCCTCTCACTGAAACAAGACAGTTATATCTGGCACGTATTAGTTTAAGATGAAAGTAGAAGGAAAAAGATTTACAAGAATCAGCAGTAACAAGATTGATGCTCAAGAGACATAATTGTACATTGTATTGTACATACATTGTATGGGTTTAAGCTGGCTGAATATTATATATTTCAAGTTTAAAAATGCACTACATATAGAGTGTCCATAGTTTAAGGCGGAATTACAGCTCAGAACTGTTGTCCTTTCTAATTTTCTGGAAGCTTCTTTGACAAATAAAAAAAAAAGGAAGAAGAAGAAGAAGAAGAAGGAGAAGAAGAAGAAGAAGAAGAAGAAGAAGAAAAGACTTAGATGTTCATAACACATAAATGATTTCCCTTCATTGTAAGTTCACCATGAGACTTCTCCTTCACTTAAATATTTTGTACGCCAAGTGGTTTTTTTCTCCAGCGAAGTTGATAAACAACTTCAATATTTGCCTTTTTGCGAGAAAAGGTACTTCACAGTATTTACCACTTTGATGTCCTTGCAGTTTTATTAAATGTATCCTCTCTGTAAAACTTTGCTTGTTTTAAATGAGCCTTTCCTTGATTTAAAAAAATACCTGTTTACATATCTTCTAGATTCTTCAGAATGCCAGACACAGTTCTTAAGGCCAAATTTGTACCATTATTGTTAAGAGTCGTCGTCAAAAGTGTCTTTGGAACCATACAAGTCTGCTAGTTTCTTAAAACGAGGTCCCCAGTTCTGTAGGTAGTCATAGTCCAAGTCTGAATCTGTGGTGGCAGACTCTAAGGAGCTCAGGGACCCGGCCACTGAGCCCCTGCCTTCGTAACCATAGATTTGGATGGAATCATAAGGAGGGGCAGTTGGGTCATTATCTGCCTCCTGTATTCTCGTGTTGATGAAGTCATCGACGTCCACACTGTTGGGTGCTGGCCGGAGTCCAGGCCTAGGCATGTACTGATACTCGGGTTTTATGTCTTTGCGAGGGATAAATCCATTGATCCCATCAGGATTCTGGAGGGTGGCAATATCAAAGGCTTCTGTGTCTTCTTCCCCGCCCCCTTCATCGTCATAGGTAATGATGTTCTCACGGACATCTTCTTCCTCAAAGACTATGAGTGGTTCTTTCTTTTGCCGTCTCAGGGTCACAAACAACACTACAATGACTATGGGGAAAGCACAAGAAAGTAAGCATAGGTCAAGCCCAGTATTTCTGGGTTCTCCCCACCCACCACCAGGAGAACTCTGCTTACTGTAAGACATGGTGGGTACAAGCTTCAGAATAGGAACCAGTCTATCACTGTGTGAAATGAGAGCTTTACCTGGAATCCCCAAAGATGTGTAAAACTGCCCTCCACCTGTCTCTTCCTCTGCAAAATGCCGCCAGGAAAGATGATACCCAAACAAACTGGCAAGTTGGAACTATTTTGAGCTTTTTACAAATGAATCCAATGCTATTTGGAAGTCATGTTCCTCAGAATTGGGAAGATTCTAAATATATTGGTCTGCAGCCTCTTAAAAATGGCTTATGTCGGTTTCGTTTTCCAACGGAAGACAGCTGTCTCTCCAAAGTTTATGAACGAGGACGTTCAGAGACCTCAGTCCTACCTTTCTATAAGAGGTGATGCTAGTTCCTGCCCAGAGGGCTGGGGGCTGGGAAGAATGAACAGGAGTCCTACTCTACCTTAATAAGAAATCTTATCATAAATGTGGCAGGGTTCTCTTCAGACCACCGTATGGAAGAGGGGAAGTTTATAATGACCCCCAGAAGACAAATCTCCTCTTTATTTGCATATAAGGAAACAGCATCAGCTGAAGCCCAGAGGAACAGCTCCATCTCCTCCCTGGGAAAGGTGATTCGACTACGCTCAGGCAACCTAGCATCGCCACAAGAGGTTTCTATGATATTCCATGAGAACACTCTGCCATGGCTAGACTAAAGAAAATGTTTGTGGCTGAATCTGACAGGTGGTCTGGGAGCCCTAGTCGGTGCATCATCACTGGGAGATGCAAGGCTGAGGCTTTGACCTTGTGTGGACTGTGACCGGCTACCAGCGCTCACCAAGCAGTGTCCCTCCCCTGTGCCTTGTTGTTGACAACACCTACGCCCAGACCACTCTTCTCTCTCATCATGGAAACCTATCTCGGCATCTCATTCTGACATCAGACACGGCTACTGGCATGCACTCCACCACCCACCTGGCCTCGTTCTTCTATCATCACAACTTATAATTTGGTTTACATATCTGGCTCCCCCTCCCCAGACTCTGAATTTCCTCGAGCTCTTTGGCATTCTGTTCCCTCTGCTTGGAAAATCTATCCATCCCAGTCTCTCTCACCATCTGGAAAATTCTTCAGCATCCAACAAGTATGTCACTTCCTCTAGGAAGATGTCCCTGACCTTAGTCAATGTGAGGCAATTCCTGCTGTGTGTCCCCATCACCTTTTATTCATGTCCCTATCATGGCACTCACCCCATGCCTCTGATTTATCTGTTCACTCGTATTTTCCCTGATAGACTGTGAACGGTCATGGACAAAGATGATGTCTGATTCTTCTCTTTATCCCCCAGGGCTGAACACAGGACCTGGTACCCAGATAATTCTCAAGAACTCTTTGTTGACCTGAACTCAGGGGCTGTTCGCTGTGCAGCTGGGCTGCCTACTCATTCAGTGGAGAATGAAACATCATGGAACAAGCATAAATTTGGTGTCAGACATCCTTGGGTTTGAGTCCTGATTTTTCTCCCACGTGATCTCATCTTGCTGAAGGCCAGCCACGGTAAATGTTCTTAGCATGGGCACACTGCTGTTCTTTCAGAGTAAACCAGAGAGGACATGAGAATGCAGAAGTGGGGCAGCTAACTCAGCCTGCAAGTGCAGGGAAAGCCTCCCAGGGGTCCCCCAAAACTGAGGCTTGCTCCCAGATAATCAGAGGAGGAGTCAAGATCCAGCTTGGCCAGGCCAACCTCACCCATTTCCTTAAGTCCTTCAGACGTTGTCTGTGGCCTCATGATTACTCCTTCTGTCCCTAACTCTTCTCTTCCCTCCTATTTTTTTAAATGTTTTTTTTTAACGTTTATTTATTATTGAGAGAAAGAGCCAGAGCATGAGCAGGGGAGGGGCAGAGAGAGAGGGGCAGACACAGAGTCTGAAGCAGGCTCCAGGCTCCGAGCTGTCAGCACAGAGCCTGATGCGGGGCTCGAACTCACAGACCGTGAGATCGTGACCTGAACCAATGTCGAACACTTAACTGACTGAGCCACCCAGGCGCCCCTTCTCTTTCATCTTCTAAGGCAAACTTGTGCTCACATCCCACACTTTTGCCTGAATTCCTCTTCTGCAAGACCTTCTCAGATGTCCCCCTACAGCACCCCCAGCTGGTTGCCGCTGTGCTGTCCTGCAGTGCCTGACAATTTGCTCATCAGAACCCTTCCCCGACCCTGCTCAAAATGCTTGTCAAGTTGCCACCCAAATCATAAAATGCACCGGAGCAGACACCACCTGCATCTTGTCTCAAATTGTAGCCACAGTCCTTGGTATAGTTCTGCTAACCAGCCTGCACTCCAGAAGTGTATGTTTCCAGGATGGGCATCTGGTTGCGAAACCCTTCCTGCAGGCCACAGCGGAGTCCGCTTACCCAGCAGAATGACGATGCAGGCGAGGATGGCGATGAGCGCCCCCGTGCTCAGGCCGGCATTCAGGATGTAGGCCTCAGCATTGCAGGACAGCAGTACACCGTGCACATCACACCCACAGACCTTGATGGTGAGGGTGTTGGTGCTACTCATGGGAGGGACTCCGCCATCGCTGATCACGATGGGCAGGAGGTACAGATCCTGCTTCTGCCGACTGAAGCCTCCACGCCGGGCATACACCCCTGCAGTGTTATCTGTTGGAGGAAAGGAGACCTTTGGAATCACAGCATGAATATTTGTGCATTCAGCTTGGCAGACGTGAGGCTGAACTTCTCATCCTCAAGGTCAACAGCCAGAATCCTTAATCTAGGTGAAGCTACAGGCATCTGGCCTTGCAGAATAATGTCTCCATATTTTGGAACCAAGCTCAGACACTGGCTCTTTTTTTTTTTTCTTTTTTTTAATATGGGGTAGATACACACGTACCCATGGGCAAGTTAAGCACACTGTTTTCTGATAAGGTATTGCCCCTTTCATCAGATACCACAAGAAAGTGTGGGCTCAGACCACATACTCTATGGGAGTATAGGAGATAATTAAATATATAAATGAGTGTGAGAAGAAACAAACAGAAAAATCTTTTTCATGTTTGTACTTTCCTACTTCATGGCAAGCCTTTGGCCAGTTTCTGTTTGTCTGCTTTTGTTTTTGTGTTGTTTTAAGACATTTCCAGTTCACACGCACAACTTACCCATACTGTGAGCCCACTCATAAGTCCTAAAGGAATATGTGTTTAAAGAGGAACTTTTTATAAAAACCCAGTAGCAGGTTTATAGTCTCTTTGAAATTCAAGCACCATCCACCAGCTAGTTAAACATGTCATGCCTCCTGCTTAAAATAATTCCAAATTATCTCTGCTGTCCACACAACACAGCCCTACCGAAAACCACTAGATTTTTCTCCATTTTTAAGACATTATTTGCCTTCCAGGGCCACACCCTATCCATTCCACACGCCCCAGTTCAGCCTGACATGCAGACATGGCTTCTGTTTCCCAAGCACACCACACCTCCCCCACTGCCTTTTTACCCACTGTTCTGCTGCCCCAGAAAGCTGTTCCTATGAGCATGGGAGGAAAACCCCTCAAGCCTCAGAACTGAACCCAAAAGCCACCACTTTGGGCAGCCTTTCTAGACCCCTCCCAACATCTCCTTTGTGATCCATAACACTATGTATTATTATTTATTATTTTTTTTTTGAGAGAGAGAGAGAGGAGAGAGAGCATGTACACAAATGAGAGAGGGGCAGAGAGAAGGGGGGAGAATCCTAAGCGGACTCCACTCAGCGTGGAGCCTGAGACAGAGCTCCATCTCACGATCCTAGCCAAAATCAAGAGTCAAACGCTTAATTGACTTATGCGCCCAGGCACCCAGCACTATATATTCTTATAGAAATTGACACCCCACTATTCTGTCTTTATTTCTTGACATAACCACTTTGACCTCGCCTAGATTGTGAACTTCTAAGAATAGGGGACTTCATCTCATTCATCTGTCTTTCCAGGGATGGACACACAAGAAACATTCAAGAAATGTTTTTTGAATAAATGGCATAACTGTGTTCTGAGAAAGGTTTAACCAAAATTCCCGATGTTGGCTTCCATATATTTTTCAATCTTTTGTAACCAATGCCCCCAACTACTTCCTCATCATGTTTTCTGCATATCTATACCAGCCAACATTTTTTCCAGACTATATGTTAAAATTTTTTAATGTTTGTTTATTTTTGATAGAGAGCATGAGTTGGGGAGGGACAGAGAGAGAAGGAGACATAGAATCCAAAGCAGGCTGTAGGCTCTGAGCTGTCTGCACAGAGCCCGATGCGGGGCTTGAACCTGTAAAGTGTAAGATCATGACCTGAGCCCAAGTTGCAGGCTCAACTGACTGAGCCACCCAGGTGCCCCAAACCAAGAGCCGGTTGCTTAACTGACTGAGCCACTCAGGTGCCCCTCCAGGCTGTGTGCTCTGGGGGGACAACACTGGTAATTATAAAACAGGTGAAATTTTAAATATGTTCTATCAAATTATGTGTACACACACACACACACACACACACACACACACACACACATCCTCAACATGGCTTGCATCTGTATGTCAGTTTAGAATCAGTAACTTATAGCAATATGAATGTATGGGCAACATGATGGCCCAAAAGCTAGTGGGTTTAGAATGGATCGACAGTACCACGAATTAGCTCTTGTTGTAGGAAGAAATACCTTAGAATCTCAAATTTAAATGGGTATATTTTAGGTGAAAGGAAATATAATACATTTTCTGTGAGATAAAATTTATTAAATATAAAAGTCAGATTCAGTCGAGGGATGAGCAGATATTCTGAGTGTTGCAGAAGGTAAGGTGTGTGTATGCATTGGTTTTTAGCGAGCTGTATCGCGACAGATTCTCTGTCCTTTGTTGCCAGCATTTCAAACAAAGCAAGGCAGAACAGCTAGCCTTCATTTCTATATTTTCTGAATTTAGTATGACTGGCATATATTGTTCTTATCGCTGGAAAAAAATTCCACCTAGTATGGAAAATCATGAAAAAATAAAAACAAACTAGCCCAAAAGGCTGTTAACTGAAAATTCTGCTTCCTGACTGTTCTTTCCTGTTCTAGCCTATACCCTGTTTCTACGCTTAAGAAATACAAAAAAATTCACATATAAATAAATTATTTCAAAATACGTTATTTCTTTCCCTTCTCATACATTTTTTGAGCTCAAATAAGATTTTCACAAATTAAAAGTGACAACATCTACCCCATTTTAGTAATCTGAAATGTCACTAATGCCACTATGAATAAAAATAAAAATTAAAAATCTAAGATGGAAAGCAAATTAATTAAATTGTTTGGCCAAATACACTTCTCTGATACAAGCAACATTCCCAAAAGATCATTCACTTAGATTATCTGTTGGGTCGCATCCTGTCACCCAGGGTGTTGTTTTGGAGGGAATGTAAACTGGGTATTTTGCTTTTGGAAACCTGTGGAAGGCAGGATTTAAAATCTGTTCTTCAATATGCCATCCACCCAAGAGTGTGCCTCCAGGTCACAGCATGCTGGCTTACACATGATAGTGACTGAAAATCAAACACTAATGGAAAACATGGAGCTGAGCAGGACACGGGCATGTGATTGAAAGATGTTTCATATTCTGAACAATGAGTCCCCTAAGACACACTGAAACTGTGACATAAAAGCTCATCAAGGAACCCAGCTGACCAGACCATTCACCATCTCCAAGTGATGGACCAGTAGAATCTTGAGAACTTTTAATGTTTATTTATTTATATTGAGGGGGGAGGGAGTGGGTCAGGGCAGAGAGAGACAGCGTGAGGGAGAATCCCAAGCAGGCTCTGCATTGTCCATGAGGAGCCCGATGTGGGGGCCAACTCACAAACGGTGAGATCATGACCTGAGCCAAAATCAAGAGTCAGACACTTAACCGACTGAGCCCCACAGGTGACTCAAGAATCTCAAGAACTTTCTAAAAAGTTCTTCTCACCAAACGTGTGACACATATGGATTTAAGATTAGTTGAAGAGGTGGGAAAGAAATGGACTGAAAGTCTCTTCATGGGCATACACTAATTACATGCTTTAAAATGCATCAGTTTTCCTGTCTAGAGCCTTACTTGTTCATCTTTAAAATGAGGACCCTGGTTGATATCAAGCATGCCTCACAGGGTTGTTACTGGAGTCAAATAACATAATAAAAGCTATGGTTATTCTATGGCTCAGGGAATCCTTCCACCAGAATATTTAACACCCACTATTGATATCTTCCCCACTCATGACTGGATTGGGGTAGCCGTGATAGACCAGAAAACTGTGTAAACAGCCTGGCTTGGCACTTAGGTGCTCAGCGTTGTTTGAATGAATAAAATATTTCTCCTGTAGATCCAACTGGACTCTGGACCAATGGGAGAGTGAGCTTTCTTTTGGGATGGCCATTTTAGAGGAGTCAGTGCTGTGTCCCCTGATGGTCTTTCTTGTGGTCCACTCTGATCACTGATCTTCGGCTAAAAAAAGTGCCATCACTATGGGCAGGAATTTCATGAAAACAAATCTAGAAAAACACACTGAAAAAGAAACAAACTAGCCATAATAACAAAAACTTGTTATACTGAAAATCAACTTTGCATTCTGTTTGACTATGGATTCTCTTTCATCCAAATCATTTTCATTGGCAGTCACTGCTTATGCATTTTTGAGAGGGTCCCCTCACTTCGGATATACACATTCCTAAGGTTTATGGGTGCCCCATGGATAAAAGAGGCTCCATGAGCCTTTTTGTTTTTTTCAGGGAAGTGTCGAATTGGCTCCATGGCTAATAAGATGAGGCAGAAAAAGGCAAATGTTACCAATGTTTAAATTTCCATCAAGAGATTTCTCAGATCCTTTTCCTTTATAAAGCTTCCAAAGAGCAAATCTCTCAATTGTTGGGGTCAAAAAGGCCTGGTTTTGAATCTTGAATCGTTTACATATTAATTGCCTGACTTCAACTGTAGTAAGTAAATGTCCTGAGTTTCTATATTCTCACCCAGGAAACTAATAATTTTAAATGTTAAAACGATTCCATTCATAAAGGTACTTAGCACAGCGACAGACTGTTGGAGATGCTCAGTAAATATTAATTCTTTCCTGGAAGCGATCCTCTTTGAGCAATAAACTAATGAGGAAGAGAAACTTAATGGCAGAGAGAGGAAAGTGAATTCCTGGAAATGTCATTGCAGCTTGGAACGCAAGGGTCTACACAGAAGAGCTCATCATCCAGAGGTAAGAAAATAGTTCACACTCCTCAATCCTGGGCAACATATTTCCCACAGTAAGAAAATGTTTTTCAAGCACTTCACTTTTTCATCCTGACACCCAGGGTTCTCATTCCTGGCCACAGACACGTAACCAGTTTCATTTTCCCTCTACTTAGGCAAAACCTTGCAAATAGGGTCATTAATTACTAGCATATGTCATGCACAAAATGCAGTGTTTCCATTAATGGAAAATAAATTCAGATTTCAAATTTTTATGTCTACATCCTGGACTCCTAATTACATGCTGTTTTTACCTGCACACTTTGTCATTACACTAACAAAATGTAAAGGGACCTGATAATGATTGTCTCCATGGTACCAGTTTGGGATGCAAACATAAGGGTTATGATGATGATGTAGCCCATTGGAGGGATACATAC